GTTTTCCTCACCCAAGACCACCACTACCACCACCACCACATTTCTGTTGTTTTCTTTCCTCCACCACCGCCACCACATTTCTATTGTTTTCCCTCCACCACCACCACCACCACCACTACCACCACCGCCACCACATTTCTATTGTTTTTCCTCCACCACCACCACCGCCACCACATTTCTATTGTTTTCCCTCCACCACCACCACCGCCACCACATTTCTATTGTTTTCCCACCACCACCACCACCACCACCACCACCACCACATTTCTATTATTTCCCTCCACCACCACCACCACCACATTTCCATTGTTTTCCCTCCACCACCACCACCACCGCCACCACATTTCTATTGTTTTCCCTCCACCACCACCACCGCCACCACATTTCTATTGTTTTCCCACCGCAACCACCACCGCCACCACATTTCTATTGTTTTCCCTCCACCACCACCACCACCACATTTCTATTGTTTTCCCTCCACCACCACCACCACCACCACCACCACATGTCTAATAGGGAGCTTAAGCAAAGGCGTTTTTGAGCGACGGACGTCAACCGGAAGTGAGGTATTTTCCCTCTTAACATGCCTTGATGATATAAAATTTGTATTCCTTAGCTTCTTTACTGTTATAGAGGCGATTTGACTGAAAATTTGAGCGAAACCACCGTCAAAAAAATCAAAAAAGGCCACTTCCGGTTGACGTGCGTCGCTCAAAAACGTTGTTGCTTAAGCTCCCTATTGTTTTCCCACCACCACCACCACCACCACCACCACATTTCCATTGTTTCCCCTCCACCACCACCACCACCGCCACCACATTTCTATTGTTTTTCCTTCCACCAGATTCTATAAAAGACCACCAACTGCCATTCTTAGTTCATTTTGTAGCAATGTCTCGTGTAGTGAACAACAATCGTGGTTTTCTTCAGCTGTTAGCTGCTTGCCCTGCTTATCAGCGCCAGTTTCTTTTAAAGACAGCTACACCACAGCAACTTCATGCACTAGTCCAAGTCTTATACAATTTACTCATGGGACACATTCCCATCTCCGAAGAAAATAAGCGGGTATTGCTGCCATATAAGGATGCTTTACTTAACCTGGCCAGTACAAATGTCCCTTTCAAAACAAAGAAGCGAGTCCTTGTTTAAGAGGGTAGTGGTTTTATTGAAGATGTATTAGCCCCTGTCGTTTCAAGCTTAGGATTTCTAATGCTATAAAAGAGGTGACACATCGCTAGGTTGCTCATTCGAAGCTAAGTCTGTCACGAGTACTCATCAAAATGAAAAGAAAGATAGATTTGGTTGAAGAAGAAGAACAAGAGAGTGAACATGAAGAAAGCGAAAGTTCTGGTGATGAAAGCGAGGATGAAGAACCAAGAATAAAAGAAGAACCGAGAATAAAAGATGTTTTGAGTCATCTTTCCCGAGCAGTGCCGGAAAAGCGTGCTTCTGATTTGCTGCATAGTATGGCTGCGTCCAAAGATATTCTTTTCTGGACCCCCAGCGGACAATTACTTCGAAATAAACGCACTATTCCCGTCACAAACATCGCTGAGCTAGTTGAGTATGTGTTACTCCCTTATAACAATGAGGTTACCAAACCTCGTGCGCTGAATACGTTTCTAGATGGACTTGCAGAGTTAGGAATCGATAAAGGTTTAATCAAGAACAAAAAGTTGTTAAGTGATTTAATAGAAAAGGAAAAAGGCTACCAAAATGTAGAAAATACTTCTGATAACGAGAGTAATAATGAGGAGAGTTCATCGGATATTGAAAATCAGGCGGAGGAGGAGGAAGTGGCTTCTGAGAATGGCGCTGAAGCGGAAGGCATCCAAGAGAGCGACAACGACACTGAAAACGACAGTCAGGAGATAGAAAGTAGTAACCCTGAAACGTCCACCACCTTTCACTCCAAAAGTCCCTGTGAACACTGCGAGAACTCTAATGTGTACGGGACATTGATCATGAAATGTCCTAAATGCCTTTGGCACGATTACTACAAGATTTGTCCAATATGCGATCACCAGATTCCCGAGGGGAGACATTACATGAAAGAGGGCTTTCTTCGATGTCAAGATTGCGGAGCAGTTACACACAAAAACGCGAAGACGTTGGAAACCAATTTCTATTCCCCTTCTACAGAGGACAGCGAAGATGAAGATTAATTAATTTCCATTCCTGTGTATTTCACTCTTTTTGTTTTTAATAAAGTTTTTTAATACGGTATCTCTCTTGTGTTTTTATTGCTAGCAATTATGAGTCGCGTGTTTTAATTGATCCTTGTTAAGTTATTTGTTTTATAATAATACGTCAAGGTTGCTCCCTGGGGTCTAGCTGTAGAGCTAATTTGTATTCAGCTTTGGGCTTGTGAACTCGCATAATTAACTGATTAACCGTGCGTGAAAATGACAAGACTTTAATAGTTTTTCATTTCCTGAGATAGAACGGAGAAAACGTCAGACAGAATTGAAATAGAGTTTTCAGAAATAGAGTTTTCAGTTCTACTTTGTGAGTTTTAGAGCTCAGTAAGAAGACATAAACTAAACGGAAATAAAGACTTTTCAACTCCACTTTCTGTATGTGTTTTGTTTATGTATATCTGAGTTTTAGCGCTAAATAAGATATAGGAAGCCGTTTCTCGCGTTGCTAGGTGATCGCTTCTCTTATTCCTATTTTTCTTTTAATAGACGGTCCGAAAACCGGGCTCAAGTTACTTACCGGGCAAGTCTAGGCAAGCCTATTGTTCCTATTGAAGTAGAGTGACGCTCATTAGTAAACCTATCCCGAATTAGTATGCAGGAAGGCACTGACTAGGCACTTAATTAGTATGGAGGAAGACACTTATACACATTAATAAAGGGAATCCACTTTTTCTCTAGGTTATAACAATGGGTGACGTCACAGACTAGACCCATATGCCTATTAATAAAGGGAATCCACTTTTTGCGAGGGAATCCAAAGGGAATCCACCAACGAGGCTTATCTTTGCTGAAGCCCTACTACTATTCACGTCTACTCCACATTTTAATTACGTGTTTATGAATTCCCATCGCGACTAAACTGATTGCTATTTTCGCTTGAAAACGGGGAAATGTGTACAGTCAATGTTATATACCTCAACTTAAGCATCTTTAGTAATAGTAGGTCATAGTACATTATTAAGGCGTGATGAATCAACCACCCACTAATCGCAAATATGGTAGGCCGTGCTACACGTTGTCAATAGCTTAGGTTCGATATATGAAAATTCCAGCATGAGTCTTTATGGTCATATTTCAGTCTCTATTTGGTTTGTTATTCTTTGTGCTTTAGTCTCTTCTGGGAATTCCGAGACAGTCTGGACAGTTAGAGAGGGAGCCTTGAATTCAAGTTGGAATTTTGATATATCGAACTTTGGTTATTCCGTGATGAACAGTGAGTGAAGTGAGCTTGACAGTGTTCGATTGGCGGATTTATAAGAAAACAATTAGATTATTTAAATATTTTATCGAATTAAGCGTCACCGTTTCATGTCATCGCGTAAAAGTCACATAACAAATGCGAAAAAACTCAACCTGCCAAAGAATTTTCGGAAAAAAATTAACTAAGACTTGCACAATAAAAGCTTAATTGATTCAGTTACAAGAAGAAATATTGTTGTCCCTTTTGTTTGATAAAAGCGGCAGTCGACTCTTTTCAGCAGTTGCATTCTTGGATAACCTCCTTTAACAACCTAATAAGGTCTGTCTTTCTATCTTTTGCTCGGAAAGGTACTTCAAAGTGGCGAAGAATAGTCTTGAGCATTGCAACATTGAAGGCCTGTAACTTTTCTTCCTTGTGATAGGCGCAAAGATCATAATTATGTGTCATATACTATCGGATGCTCTAGTCCAATTCTGCTTTGAATATCGTCAAGCAAATTGTTGCAATAAGTCTCCAATGAGGGCGGTGATGTCGTCATTCTCATCTGCTGTAATATCAAATTCCTGTTCCTTTGATATAGCATGCTGACCGCATGTTCTCTGCCGTGAAGCGAGGCTTAAAAAAAAAAAACATTATTTGGGTCTTGGTGAGCCACTCCCATATCCTCTCTTTCAAACAATCTTTCATTCCGTTCATTTCTGGCATTGCGCATTTGACGTTCGATCTCTTCTAAATTGGCTTTTTTGCCCGTTCTTTCTCCCATTTCAAACCTTGTTGTAAGGTACCGTCTCACGTTCTCAGAAAAACGAACTCCGCCAGTTCTACCTTTGTTAAGAGCCCATCCGATACTTAGACGAGAATTTGTGCTGTTAACAGTCAGACCAGTGGAGGATTTGTTGCTTGTTATCTTCTGGTTCTCAATTGAAGAAAATGTTTCAGCCCAGTTTTTCCGTACTTTATCATAAAGACTTCCCGACTTCCTAGTATCATGTATTCCTAAGTCTGTATGCAACTCAAGATCGGAGAAAGAGTCAAAAGTGAAATTACAGCCTTCTTCAGGGCACACAAACATCGATGGCTGATGATCAATTTCAACGTCGTCTTTACTTGCTTGACAATTTCTTGGGCGATGAAGGTCTCTTATTTCTGTGTTGGTGAAGAATCTTTTTCCCTCCGTTAATGATATATTTGTGCAACCCTGGTGCCATATGTACAAAGATTGCCAAGGGATAAGCCTGCCGACCCCAACAGCGTAAGCTTTCCACACTCTTATCTCACTCTCTTTGTATCTAAAGTTGTACAACTCACACCAATCTTGACAACACGAATCTAATATATGGGCATACGACAGGACCTTAGCTTTCTAAGTTTCTTGGTCTTTTGAGATCACACTGCTTATATCCCAGCTAAGCCTCTTTTAGCAAACCATTCACTTTGCTTTTCTCTGTATTTCATTTGAAAAAATTTCATCGCCCAGTCATTAACAACAAGGACTGATTGGAGGGCTTCTTGTTTAGCAGATTTTTGGTTAACAGAGCGGAAGGCATGAGATTTCCAAAGAAAAATGCTATTCTTAGATCTTTCAAAAGCCGTCAGTCCACTCAGGGTGGGGAGAAAACAGCTGTGATCACAGTCGAGACGCTGGTGTCAGCTGCTTACAGCAAGGTCTGCCTCAAATCCTTGAAGTTGGCTGCTACCAAGATAAATCTGATGATCGAGCCTTGAACAAGCTTTACGCCAACCTCAGATCACAAATCGATTGGTGGAACATGCGATCGATGGTCACTAAGTGTGCGGAGCGTGCTTTCGTGCGAGGTTACAAATATTTTGGGCTACAGTTTTACGGGGAGTGCTGGGGTGATGACAGACTCCGACCGAGCTATGATAAACATGGCCCTGGAAAGGGATGCACAGACAGTGAGTTAGGATCAGGGAGGCCAGGGGGGTGCTCAGCCCAGAGGTCTAAGCCTTTCACCCTTTTGTACATATACCAGTTTTGACAGAAAAGGTCCCCCTTTCCTATACCTTCTATTGTCAAATGCTACTCCTTCCTCATACCTACTTTAGAACTCTGTATCCCTTTAAACTACTGTAAATGTCTTTAAAATATCAACAAACCACAAAAACCTTCAGTTTTTTCAATTTTTTGACAGACAGAAAGTGCAGCTGTGGGCTTTTTTACAGACTAAATAGCGGATTTCCCTTATTTTTCATAAACCTAATCTGGTGAAATCCCCTTCCTTTCATAAACCTGAAGTCTGAAAGCGGTTCCCCTTTCGGGCGGAACCTTCCCATATAAACCATTATAGGGGATAAACCTGGGGTAAGTATACAGATCACGTACTGCACCCTCATAAGTAGATTTTGATTCCTCGTCAAACCGCATTAAAAGAAAATTTGGAGCACCTATCGCGCCAAAAGCCATCGATTTCTTTACGTTATCGTAGGTGTTGGGGATGAGGTTCACAGCTATGCTTACCGATTTGCACCGTGGCGTGACCTCGGTTGCTGGCGTGACGTGGGTGATGGACACACCATGAAGCTATTGGCCAATTTCCGACCCAAAATTGATTGGTATCACTTGGAGAAGATTGGTAAGTAGCAGCAGGCGGCCGAAACACGTACGCACGATCTTTTTTTCTGACATAAAAGACATTTCAAATCCCACAAATTGCCACTTATCCTTCACATTGTCCTTTAATATAGGAATCTTGCGATCTAAACGGCGTCACCAATTAAGTCGTTGGTAAAAAATAGTGTTCACGTCCTTTCCAAGTCACCCAGTTTCTTAAAAGTAGGGAAAATAGGTTGGAGCTGAAGGTGAAAGGACCTTAAAGTCCTTTATTCTGAGATGACATGTAACTTCTCATTGTGCTGAAAATGAAACAAACTAGACTCCTAACTTTTATATGCAATCGTTTATTTCATATTTGACACTTATTACCCAAACGAATGACTGAGCAAAATTTTGCAATATAATTATTAAAAAACGCTCAATATTTCCTTATTTAGTTCAAATGTGCTACGAAGCTGCCAAAAAAGCCAATAAGAAGTTCTTTGCCATTCAGTTTTATGGAGAGTGTTGGGTATCTGATACAGAATCTTACAAATTGTATGGTCCGTCCACAAACTGTTGGAATGGAGTCGGCAGAGTGTACAACAATTATGTGTACGAAGTGCTTTGGTGAACCGCGCAGGTAATTATAAAAAACAATACAGCACAGGGGAATGAGAGTTCTGATCACTTTAACTGCTTTGTTACTCTGAGTAATTGTTCCTAAACTTAGAGCCACCATGAGAGGAAGCCAGAAACCTAAGAAACAACTTGCAACCACAGTAGTATAGTGCGCATGTTTAATTCAATTATTCTGCGATAGATTAGTATTAGCTGGTGTGTGATTCCATTATTCTGTGATAGATTAGTATTAGCTGGTGTGTGATTCCTTTATTCTGTGATAGATTAGTACTAGCTGGTCAAGTTGATTCCATTATTCTGTGATAGATTAGTATTAGCTGGTGTGTAAAGTACATTGACGTCACCGTGAGACCGATGAGAGGTACCCTCAGTCTCGAACATGGTTGAAAGCAACTAACTGTTATATTTCTTGCTGCCCTCATTCCCTGTTGCAGCTGAGTTTCGATCAAGTCGGTAGTTAATGGCCATTTGAAACGATGACGTCGTTTTACCACCACCGCTACTACTACTACTGCTACTGCTACTGCTACTGCTACTGCTACTACCACTACCACTGCTACTACCACTACCACTACCACTACCACTACCACTACCACTACCACTACCACTACCACTACCACTACCACTAATACAACGACCACCACCACCAGGGTTTTGCTTTCTTGTACAAATTAGGGCTTTTGTCAATTGAACCTCACTGGGATTACCAAATTGAAATTGGAAAGAAAACTGACGAAATGAATATTCTGGTCGTATCTGTCGTAGCAGGCCTATTCTCAGTTGGTACATGTTAAAAAGGGTTAGCCAACTAATGAGGGAAAGCGAGCCTCGTTCCCAGGGCTTTTCGCGCCCACCACAATTTCAAAGGGAGGTTAAGTAAAAGCAAACGGCCCTTTTTTCAGTCGAGCGGGAGTCTGCTTCTGGCTGCAATTTTATGCATAAAGGTAACCAATTCAGTTAATCAAAGCTGCCCGACGTTCTAAATAAAACTAGCAACAACAATCTTAAAAGACTTATAGTTGTAAATGATGACTTAGTTTATAAATGAGTTCTTGAAGTTAAACGTTGCGTACAACAATCTTCATCTTCGTTTTTCCCGCCAGGTGACTAAGAAGAAAGAAAACTCAAGCGGGATACATTTAAACATAATCATTGATCTGGCAAAAATAAATTAAGAAAACATTTTATCTGACTCCATGATGACCATTACAGTTCATCAACGTACCACTAACACGCAAAATCCTGCTCCACCTACTCAGTATGAAATGGCTCCTGGGTTACAGGGGGTCTCTACGGGTGTGCTGCCGAGAAATATCATCTGATTTTGGGTCCAAAAAGTTGTCGGGGCTTTTATATCAGTTTCTTTTCTTCGAAATAATCATATATTTAAAATTGACGCTTGCACTCTAAAATATTACAAAAAGCTGAGATCAAGTAAAATAACAGAAGCAGGATGAAAATGAGCGAAGTTCCATTTCAAGATGATATTTACTTTTGCACTCAATTAAATAAAGAAAACTGACTTGTCCTAATGGAAAATAATAAGATGAATGAAAGAAGTAAATTGGCAATTTAGATTTTTTTCTCCTTCTTAGAATTTTTCTATTTCTTTCAAAAGATAAAACAAGGGAATTCTCTGTGAAAATGATATCAGATTTTATCAGTAAAATATTAAAATTTTCTGTACATGAAATTTTTTTACATATTTGAACAGACACACTCCCTTTTCGTCCATGAGTTTTATGTTTGTTCCTTAGTTAAAACAGCTTGCGTATTTGTTTAAACAAAAAGTACATAATGCGAAGCCACTTTTGTACATTTAAAAATTTTAATAGTTTAGCTAGCTGCGTGAGTGTTAAGATACTGTGAACTAAACTTGCAACTGAGTCAGTTTAATTTGAACCATATTGTTGGTGATGCAGATAGCTTGTGCTAAGAGTTCCCGGAAATTGTAGAAGATATTCATTTTTATTACTTTAAGGAAAAACACATCCGCTCTGGTTATTATCGTAATAAGTATTGGACAAACAATTAAGACTGGTACAGACATTATGACTTCATCGAGCGAAGACGAAGACTACCTTTACCGCAGTCTTACATTTCGAAGTGTTTTGGTTTGCAAGTCAAAAACCATTCCCGAAGAGACAGCCATTCTCGACATTTCTACAGCGATTGTCAACATTATAGCCATCCTTCCTGCAATTCTGGGGAATATTTTGATATTACTAGCAATCCGCAAGACATCATCCATAGCAATGCCAACCAAAGTACTTCTCGGAAGCCTCGCTTTCACGGATCTTGGAGTCGGATTACTTGCACAGCCATTATACGCAGTAAAAACTCTTTCTTCGGACGTCTTAACCAGATGTGTGAGTGGCGTGCTGTTTGATATTTTGTCTGGCCATCTTTCCATTACGTCGTTTTTTAGCGTAATGTTTATCAGCCTTGACCGATTCATGGCACTCCATTTAAAGCTGCGTTATCGCACTGTAGTAACCCTAAAACGCTGCCTTTTTATCGCAGTACTTGTTCGATTAGTTGCCCTTCCATGGGGTTTAACCTTCATCTGGATGCACAAAGTCTATTTTCTTCTCATACTGACAATTTTACCCATCTGCTTGGTAATCTCTTCCTTGTCGTTTATCAAAATCTACCTCATTCTTCGCCGAAAACAAAAGTGCTTCAAAACTCCAGCGCAACACAAGTCTTTGAGACGAGTCGACGCCCTCACAGTCTCGCGGTACCGTGAGTCCGTCAACAGTATGTTTATCATATTTTGCGCTTTATTGGTGGCGTATATTCCAGCCTGGATCGTAGTTTTGGTTCGAATCATTTACGGAAGAACAGAGTACTTGGATAAAGCAACCACAGCAACTTTGACGATAGTTCTTTTGAACTCGACGGTGAATCCAATTCTGTATCTATGGAGAATGAAAGACCTGCGACAGTCTGCCTTGGAAGTGATAGCACACATAATCCCGATATCAGTAACACGGAGAAGTATTTCAAAAAACGCCGTTGAAAATGTTGAATTGCGCACTGTGTTGCAATAGTGTTGCTGGACGACAGTTTTCTTGCCTTTCCGAAGCTGCAGAAAATGGCTCAAGCGTATGGGATTATTTCATTACTAGCTTTAGCGGGACTTATAGGGCTAGCACGCTTTGTTGTTCTTTCGACGCACAATCCCGATGGTTACTTTTGACATCCCACCTTGCGTGTTCATTTTGCTTTTAGATCCCGAATCCCGAGCTTCAAACAAAGGAAATCCCGGATCCCGTAAAACCTATTGGGGACCCCCTTTATAATTTTACAAGATTTGCACAATTTGCGATGTTTTTTTTGTGGATATTCTGAACATGAGAATTAAAAAAATAAAGCCAAAAAATCTGCTCATTAGCAATTAAAACTAGAGTGGCACCTCGCCACACGAGTAGAACGCCGCCGTTCATAGGATTATCTCATTATTACGACCACAACATTTTCTCTCTGACAAACTGAAAAACCGTCAGTCATTTTCATTTCTAAACCTCTCGTTAATACGACGAGGATTTCATAGCCTTACAATGGTCGCCTGATTAACTAGGTTCCATACCTGTAGTCACTGAAGAGATCATCCTATTATGATCTCTTGCTGAAGTAAATAACCGTCCACAGGGGAGAGACCGTACTGTTTATTTTTTTTTAAGTTAAGGGTCTAAATAAAATTCTTTCGTGTGACCATTCAAATAAGAGATATGAACAGTACTTGTCTGAGGTATTGATTATTGATGGGCTATACAAGACACACGATCTATACTCTTAAGATTGATCTTTCAGACGAGAACTATTACATGTGTTAAACAAAGGTTAAATATTATTGAGCGTCATTTTTTCCTTCAATAATTTGGAAAATGAAATTGTTTCACTTTTGAACCGGGGCCTTCATGGTAATAAAACTTAAAAGGACTGGCAACTTAATATCATTTTTTTAGAGCAGGTGTGTAAGGTATTTATTACCTTTTGGGTGACAAAAGGTGCTAAGTATAATTTCGCTTTTTTAGCTGTAAAGACAAACAAGGTTTTAAACCACTTTCATTAATTTCGAAAGCTTATATTAGACAAAACGTCATGGATGCTACACTTAACACTTAAGAACCTTGAAGTAGCCACGATCTCTTAAATTATTGTCATTTAATTAACCATGGGCAATCTTTCCAAGTCTTCAAGCCAACCTCTTCGCATCTGCGACTTCTACCCCAGACCCACCACAGACGTAGAACATATTTCCACGGCCGCCTTAAACCTGTTTTTTTCTGTTTCGGCAATAATTTGCAACACACTCGTCCTTGTTGCAATTCGTCGTACGTCTTCTCTTTGGCTGCCCACGAAAATCCTTCTGTCAAGTTTAGCATTTGCGGATGTCTGCGTTGGGATTCTTGTACAACCTTTTTTTGCAATGAAAATACTCCTTGGTAACAATCTTGCACGGTGTGTCGTAGGAGTGCTGTTTGATTTTCTTTCGGGGCACCTTTCTCTTGTTTCTTTTACAATAATGATGTTGATAAGTATTGACAAATGTATGGCTGCCCAGCTTAAAATGAGATACCGTATTGTGGTGACCACAAAACGTTCTCTTATTGCTGTGACTTTCATCTGGGTCTTTGCAGTTCCATGGGCGATTTCGTTCTTCGTAAGTTTACAGGTTTATTGTATCTTTATCGCAGTAGTCATTCCCGTATGTTTTTCGATAACTTCGGCTGCTTTCGCGAAGATCCAGTTTGTTCTACGCCGACAAGGAACACAATATTCAGTAGCGGCCAGTTATAACACATCTTCCCTACACCATATAAAAAGATGTGCGAGCATGTCCCGTTATAGGAGCTCTGTTCGAAGCATGGTATATGTCTACTTTGCCCAAGTTATTGCATACTGTCCGGCCTGGTTGGTCATGCTGACACGAGTGTTATCTGGCACAAGCCCCGCAGCAATCCGAGTGGCGACCGATTTAACATT